TGCTGTTCTGTTGCAAACACTTGGGCATGAAAACCATGTAGCACTATTAATGGGGTTTCTGGAGTTTTTAAAACAAAATAATGCCATAGCACTCAGCTGCAATGCATCCACAGTATACAGGAGAGGACTGTGGATGGAGTAGGAAAGGAAGATGAAAAGATCAAGAAATTGTTAGTGTTTGACCCAGGGAGGAGCTGCTGCAGACACTGTCACCACTGATGTTTTGACATCAGGAAGACCAGCTGGAGAAGGGTGGAAACGCCTGTCTTCTCAGTTTGAAGATTGCAACTTTATTTTCCCAAAGAAACCAGAGAAGTAAGAGCTGCCTTACTGTGGATTCCTGGGAATTTCCATAGTGCCAGGTTAAGCCTATAACTGCTCCCTCTACCAAGACATCTCTTTCATTACTCTCCTTCTCTGTCTTTCCCCCAACTTGATCTTCCTGATATCTCATGTTCTCCTCCCCCCTCCCCTTCTTCCCTCCTCTCCCTCCCCCTTCCCGCCATGCTCCCTATTTACTCAGAAGACCTTGGCCCTTTCTCCTTCTCAGGGGGTCCATGTATATCTTTCTTGGGGTCCTCCTTGTTTCCTAGCTTCTCTGGCGGTGTGGATTGTAGGCTGGTTATCCTTTATTCTATGTCTAATATCCACTTATGAGTGAGTACATACCATGTTTGTCTTTCTGTGTCTGGGTTACCTCACTCAGGATGGTTTCTTCTAGTTCCATCCATTTGCCTGAGAATTTCAAGTTGTTACTGTTTTTTACTGCTGAGTAGTACTTCATTGTGTCTATGTACCACATTGTCTTTATCCATTCTTTGGTTGAGGATTATTTAGGTTGCTTCCAGGTTCTGGCTATTACAAATAATGCTGCCATTAACATAGTTGAACAGATGTCCTTGTGGTATGAGTGTGCATCCTACAAGGATGACCCCCAACTAAGAATCTAAGCAATAGTGGAGAGGCTACCTTAAACGCTCTTCAACTATAATGAGATTGATGACTACCTTAAATGCCATCCTAGAGCCTTCATTCAGTAGCTGATGGAAGCAGAAGCAGAGATTCACAGCTAAACACTGAGCCAAACTCCTGGAACCAAGTTGTAGAGAGGGAGGAGTGAAGAGCAAAGGGGTCAAGACCATGCTGGGGAAACCCACAGAAAGAGCTCACCTGAGCAAGTGGGAGCTTACAGATTCCATACTGACAACTGGGGAACCAGCATAAGACCTAACCAGGCCCTCTGAACTTGGTTGTCAGTTGGGGGGCTTGGGCAGTCTATGGGGCTGCTTGCAGTGGAACCAGTGTTTATCCCTAGTGCTTGAACTGGCTTTTTGGAGCCCATTCCCTATGGAGGGATACTCTTTCAACCTAGATACAGGGGGAAGGGCTGTGGTCCTGCCACAAATGATGTGACTGACAGACTTTGATGATCTCCCATGGGAGGCCTCACCCTCTGTGGGGAGTTGATGGGAGGTGGTATGAAGAGATGTTGGGGAGTGGAAAGATAGGAGTGAGAGGGAACTGGAATTGGTATGGAAAACAAGATGGGGGGGCAGTTTCACGACAGGGTTTTTCTGTGTAGCTTTGGAGCCTATCCTGACACTCGCTCTGCAGACCAGGCTGGCCTCGAATTCACATAGATCCGCCTACCTCTGTCTCCCAAGTGCTGGGATTAAAGGCGTGCACCACCAATTCCTGGCTAGATTGTTTTAATTTAAATAAAAAATAATTTTAAAAACTGCCTTACTCATGCCTTTATCTGGAGCATTTCCTAGACATCTTGGGCAGAGTATGTGCTCAGTTAATACTACTGAATGAAAGGGGGAAGATATAAATAGACTGTGCAGCACCTGAGCGCATAGACTAAGACATTTTTAGACCTCCATTAGCCCCTCACAGGCTAGGAGGGGAATCTGGTTTGAAAGGGGAATTTCCCATTGTTGCCCCATGCCTGACCTTAACCATTTGTCCTGAAGAAGCCTACTATCTACCTGAACAACCAGTCTGGACACCTTGAGGAGAAGCAGCCTAACAGTTGTGACTCATATCGGTAAGGGGATGGAGAGAGAGCTCAGTGGTTAAGAGCACTGACTGCTCTTCCAGAGGACCTGGGGTTCGATTCCCAGTGCCCACATGGTGGCTCACAACTGCCCATATTTCCTGTTCCTATTTAAGGTCCCAACACCCATGGCAAAACACTAATGCACATAAAATAAAAAGTAAATGAAAAAAGAATGCAAAAAACCCCACCAAAAACCTATTAGTAAAGAGATTAAGGCCACCATTATTAGGTGTGTATATTTAAAATGTGTTATAGTGAAACCCTGTTTTGGCATTTGATTTTTAAAATACCAGAACTCAAAAAAAAAAAAAAAAAGGTCACCAGAACTGCTCTGTTACAAATATTGGGACATAAAACCATACAGCACTACTAGTATTACCAGAGTTTGAAAAGCAAACTCCTCTCCAGGGTGACAGAACACTGCCTTAGGAAAAGGGTAGGCAGGATTTTAACTCCACTTGTGTAAGTCTCCTGGACTCAGTAGATATTTCAGCCACTGAAGAGAGATCTAAAGTCAGTCAGCTGAACATGGGGGGGGGTTCAGAGGCAGAACTAAGCCTGGGAGAAATCAGTCTAGGATGTAGGATATCCAGCAAAGGAATTGCACTGTGGAGGAAGGTGGAAAGAAGTGTTCATTGCAGCTCAGACACCACAAAGCCGGACTCTGGTGGAGCTCATGCAGGATCTTCCTAATCCATGCTGTAAGGAGTCAGCGCTTTGCTGGAACACAGTCTGTGCTTGTAAAACACCAGGGGCTTCACCAGAGTTGACTTTTGGCATGTTTTCCAAAAACAAAACTCTCCCCTGTTCCTGTTAGATTAAAGAGACCTTTAGGTAACAGACCACTATAAAAGTATGAATTAATCTATAGAAGACAGAAATCAGGATAGAATAACTTCAGATTTGTCAAAAGACACCAGTTGGAACTGTTCAAGTCTATTCTAAACATCCTTTACATGATGACTACTGGCCTCAATGACCAGGGGCAGGGGAGAGTTATTATAATGGAGTACATATGTTTTAGCTTGTTCTATCTGACATTATTAGTGACTGGGGTCACTGTTTGGCAGAGTCTGCACTGGAGACAGACATCTTAATTTGCCTAGTTTGTTCACAGAGGTAATTAATTACATAATGCCTAATTAGCTAACACTTTCACCTGCCAGAAGTAGTGGTTAATGCCAGACACAATTTGGTGGTCTTCCTCATTATCCCCTGAAGATAAACAGAGAGATATGGCATATGTAAAACCAAATGAAGGGCAGGGTGTCAGTCAGTGGGCATTAGAGTCTAGATGTTGTCAGTTTCTGTTGGGAAAGAGCAGCTAGTAGACTAGCCGGCAGTGGCAAGAGGTTTGAGAAGAATGATTATAAGCTACAGGAAGGAGCCAAGGTCCCAAGTTCCAAGGCAACACCCAAGTCCATGGTTATTCTGTCTCATGACTATCATTACCTTTCCTAAGATAACTTTCGCAATGGTTCTTAGATAATTTGCGTAAAATTACAAGTGCCTGGTGGGCAGTGGCCACACCAGGGCTCGGTTACCTTGGTTGTTCCCCAACATGTGTTTGCCTTCCCATTCTGAAAACTTTGCTGACTGTCTACTATGAACCAAAAGAAGTCAAAAAAGAAAAAACAAGAAGAAATTTGAGTGTTTTAAAAAAAAATGGTCTTCAGCAGAAGTTAAGATCCAGGGTACTTGCTTCTTGTCTATTATGTACATTCTTAAAGAGAAATCCACACACATCAGGAAATGCCATATATCTTCTATTTGACATTTGCAAATATTTTAAGTTCTGATTTGCTTAAAAACCCATGGCACTGAGGTTCTTGAACTGGTGCTCCATACAGAATCCCATAGGAACCATGAGAGAAAGGGCCATGATGAAGTAGATTTCCTTACTCCTGAATGAAATGCACCAGCAAACAGTGAATTCATATTTCTCCTATTTCTTCCTTCTCTTTTTCCTTCCCTCTCACCCTTCTTTTTCCTTCTCTTCATCCCTTCTTCTTTCTTTCTATAACAGGGATTGCTTTATGCCTGTATATGTTGTGGAACTCTGTAGATCAGACTGCCCTCAGGCTTCCAGCAATTATCCTATCCTGACTCCTAAGTGCTGGGATTATAGGTCTTCACAATCACAGCAGGCTACCAATTAATAAATTACTTAAAAAAACACTCTCTTTTCTGAAAATGCTAAGCTATAATTCTTTATTCTACCTGCATTGACACCCAGAGACATGTTTTAGTGGACAGTAGAATCAACTTAGTATTCAGTTAAATGAAGAGGCCCTAGGAAAGCAGCTTTGTTTAACCATCGGACCTTTTGTATGAACTGAGAGGGCAAAGTTCCAACTAGGAGGATTTCTTAGGTCCTGACTTTGGATGTTTTCCTAACTAGTAATCACACAGAACAAAAAACCAATTGGCAAGTAGTGAGAAAGAATTGGAAAATGGAGTATTTGAGAACTGAAAGTTCTCACGTGTACTGGACACATTTTTGATGAGGTTGGCATGGAAGCCAAAAGCAGGCTTGTGTTCATATTCAGTTGTTTTCAAAGCAAATAAGTCGGTGTGTCAAGCCAGCCCTACGTTGGGACCGAAGTCAGATGCCATGGAAAGGTTCAGTGATCAAATCTGATAAGCTAACCAACCTGGTCAAAGAGAAAGGATGCCACACCTTCCAAAGGAACCTATCTTCTTGGGGGAATGATGCTCTGAGAGCTTGGCTGTCATATAAAAGGCCATCCTGGGATGGTGTTTCGAAATTGATAAAGTGGCTTAAAATGCACAGAGAAAATTTTAGAAGAAAACTTCAGAAGGAAACCTAAGTTTGAAGGGACGGTGCTAGTCTAACTTGGAGCTGTGTGGCTGTTATTGGATCTGTAATTTAACAGCAGGCCCTAATAGTGCTTTTCCCCGATATCTTGCACTGCAGAGAATGGCTTCCATTTTACCTGCTTCTAATAGACGCATGAGACCAGACAAGAATACATATGAGGGGTGAGTAATTTTGATCTTTTCTTGTTTCAGCCAGGTGAGTGTGCCTCGTATTTTATTTTAAGTGCTCATAGACATACCCTCAGAGTTTTATACTTCTTTTCACACTGGACATTAAATAATTGGAATACTGTCCATAATACAAATCGACATAAAAGCACTGTAAATTTTTCTTCTTTGATACCTGTGGAGTTGGCAAGTTGGCTCATGTGAGAACATAGAGTAGAGACTGGTGGGATGGCTTAGTGGATAAAGGTGTCTGTTGAGCAAGCCTGGCTACCTGAGTTCACCCCCAGAACCCATGTAACAGTGGAAGAAGAGAAACGACTCCACAGAGTTGTCCTCTGACCTCCACATGTGCCTCCTAGCATGTCCACTGCCACATAATTTTATAAAAAATAATAAATAATACACATAATAATAACATATAGAAAAGAAAGTAGGTCAAAAGAACATACAAAAACCGTAAGAAGTTTAACCAACCCACAGGAACAGACAAATTCAAAGTACAGCTTGGAATTCACTGTGCCCTGAATTCAGAATTTAATTCCAGGACCAAAGGCTACACATGAGAAATAATAAAAGGGCCTGGTAGTGCCTATGGCATTTAAACTGTGTTGAGTGTGTCATGGGATAATTTCATATGCTTTGTGATAGACAGACTTGACATAGAATCGACTTCTGAAATACCATGGATGTTATTCATCACATAGGTAGGCATAAATCTGCCAAAGCTGCCTGAAAATTAAACTCTAATTTCTGCCTCAGGTTAACAGAACATAATAGAGCATTAGTCTTCATGACACTTAAGGAATTTTTGTAAGTTCCCTCTGACTTGCCGAGAATTGTGGGAAATGTCGTGATGTAAGCGTACAGACAGCACTCCATTCGCAAGCTCAAACAGACCTCTCTTGCCACTTTCATTCCTTCATGGAAGCCAAGGAAGCCAAGGGAAAGCCTCCCAGTTAGCACTTTTATTTGGTGACCAATATTTAGAGCATGAGTTAGGAAAAAGAGTGAAGTTAGGCTTTAAAAAAAGTTTTGAGGAGGAAACAGTACGTGGGAGTCTATTTGGTGTTAGCTACAGATTTTAGAAAGAACAAAGCATTGGAAGAGCCAGCTTCATATGGATTTGAATTTGGCGTGAAGTCTCAGGCAAGCCTTTCCTCAATGCTTTTAAAGACATTCATTTATTTGTTTTTAGTTGAAAGTGATAATTGACATATTTATGGGTACAATGTGTTGATGGGCCTTTGTTTGTTTGTTCAGTTGGCTTGCAGTGTTAGGGACTGACCAAGACCTTATGCCTACTAGATAAGTACTTTGTCACTGTTCTATATCCTCAGCCCAGAGAGAGGTTTGACCTATGCATGTGTTGTAGAAAATTCTATTGATCTAGCCAATATATCCATCACCTCACCCATTTCCCATTGTTTGGTAGTAAGAATATATATGTATTCCCTGTGGTTACCAGGCAAGACGTATAGATCACTAAGCTGCTTCTTTCAATGTCACTGTGTCTGTGTTCCCTTTTAGCATCTCTTTCCATACCTCCCTAGCCTCCAGCCTTTGATATCCACCACTCTTCCCTCTGTTTTAGTGAGATTAACAGTTTTAGAGCCCACATAGAGAGAGGCTGCTAAGTGTTTGTCTTTCTGGGCTGGTGCTAAGCTTAACATGCTTCCAGTTCTAGCCAGGTCACAAATGACAGGATGTTCTTCTGTATAAAAGCTGAGAGGTCAGTGAGATGGCTCAGTGGGCAAATAAACACTTGACACCAAGCCTGATGGCCTGAGTTGGGTACCTAGGTCCCACATCATGGAAAGATAGAAACGACTCCCACAAGTTGTCCTTGGGTTTCCTACATACACACTCTGTTGTGTGTGCACATTCACACTCATACCCACAAATAAATAATTGTAAAAAAGTTTGAATAGTACTCCATCTTGAATATATTTATAAGCATATAAATACATTTATAATATATTCATAACATATATAAATATTTAAGTAACTATATATGTCACTATTGGAAATAGTGCTATAATAAACATGGGAGTACAGAGATCACTCTGACACACCAATCTCAGTTCTTTTGCATAAATAACAAAAGTGAAAATTCCGTATTATGTGATACTTCTATTTCAGTTTTTTGTCGCCCCAAAATATTTTCCCAGACTAGCCATATTAGTTTATGTGTCCACCAATAGAATACAAAGTTTCTATTCCTTGCCTCTATTCCTTGTCAACATCTGTTATTAGTGGGCTTTGATAGTAATTCTAATGGGTGTGAAGACATGCTGAATTGTTTTGAATTTTCATTTCCCTAATAATTAGGAATATTGATAAATTTAAATATACTTGTCAGCCATCTGAATCTTTTGAGAATTGTTGTTGGCTGTTTTTTACTCTTTACTTGTTTGGCTCTTTGTTCTTTTGGGGTGGTGTCCACCACCCAGTTCAAATGAACAAATCACAGACTAAGAGGCTTATTCTTACTTATAAATTCCCAGCCTTATCTTTGTTTGTTTCTAGCCAGCTTTTCTTAACTTAAATTATCCCTTCTATCTTTTGCCTCTGGGCTTTTGTCTTCTCTATTTCTGTATATCTTTTCTTTTCTTCTTATTCTGTGTCTGGCTGTGTGGCTGGCCCCTTCTTTTCTTGCTCATTGATCTTTTTCTTCCAAATTTTCTCTTTCTATTTATTCTTTCTGCCCAAAGCCCTGCCTATCCTTTCCTCTGCCTTCGCTCTAGTGGGAAGCAGGTGTACACAACGGTGTGGGGCACTGATACTGAAAAGTGTAGGCCTCTAAAGATTTGGGGTGGCTCCTGCAGAAAGTAGAGGGGTGTGTGAAGGGGCAGGGGGAAGATTGGGATGTACTACCTGGGCTAAAGCTGGGGGTGCTGGGACATCCCTCCCAGCCTCCTAGATATAGAGTGACATGTTCCTTCTGTAGGACTTGAGTGGGAATTGGGTTCTGCCTGATCTTTTGTGTTTGTTTGTTTGCTTGCTTTTTCTTATGGAATCCTACTTGAGTGACTACTTTCCAAACAAATGCAGTGGAGTTTTTTGTCTGTGCTTTTCTCTTGACACCGATTCAGGTGCAGCTGCTGTCTACTCTGAGTTGACATTTGGACATGGTGCATGAGCATGTTCAATTTCATTCTTTTGTAGGTAGATATCAGGTTTTCATAACACCATTTATTGAGAACCTTTTCCTTTCTTCATTGTGTGTGCTTGGCAGCTTTGTCAAATGCCAACTGTCCATTAATAACTGGATCTATTTCTGGATCTACTATTTTATTTCCTTCAGTGATATGCCAGTGTCACACTGTTTTGATTGCAATCACTTGTGGGTTTTAGTTTGCTTCTTTATTTTTAGGCAGTGTCCCCTTGTTTGGCACTCACTGGCTTGAAACCTTTTGTACAGCCTAATCTGGCCTTGAATTTAGGATCATTCTGGGTCAGCTTCTCTAATGAGCAATCAGACATCAAGAAAATCAAAGGGTTTCTCCCAAGTGTGTTAAGGGCAGTAGTCCTCAGCCTTCCTAATGCTGTGACCCTTTAATACAGATCCTCATGTTGTAGTGACCCCCAATCATAAAATCATATCATTGCTACTTCAGAACTGTAATTTTGCCACTGTCATAAATCATAATGTAAATATCTAATATGCAACCCATGGGTGTCGTGACCCACAAGTTGAGAACCACTGGTTAAGGGACTATTATAACAAATATCATACAAGAGAATGTAAGTAATGACTAGGCTTTCTTGAGATTTTCTTCTTAAACACAGAAAAGGTGGGGATCAGTAGGTTTAGAAGCTCCAGGTGTCCTTTACCACTTGAATCAAAAATGTTGAGAAGGGACCTAGGTATCAACACTCTTTAAAGTCTGTGATAAGGACTGTGATGTCTCTAGCTTTGTTATTTTAAACACACACACACACACACACACACACACACACCACTACCACCATCACCACCACCACCACCACCAAAAACCCAAACACCTACTAGAACTGATAAAATTTGTAGGTTATAAACTCAGCAAGTAAAGATTAACATTGTTTCTATAAACTAACAAGAAACTACCTGGAAATGAGCTTAATAAAACAATCCCAACTAAACAGAGTACAATATTATATACTGGAAAGATCTGTATACTGAAAACCATAAAGTACCAACAAAAGAAACTCAAGACAACAAAGAAGATGTAAATAGGTGAATGGATATCTCATGTTTGTGGACAGGGAGACTTGATACTGCTGAAATGTCAATACTATACAAAGTGGCCTAAGATTCAATATAATTCCAATCAAGATTCTAATGGCCTTCTTCAGAGAAATAGAACCCTAAAATTTGTACGGAAACAAAAAAGATTCAAACAGCCCAAAGCCTTCTTTGGTTGTCTTCCAAGTGCTTTTCCATGGCCCAGGAGACAAGAATCTGCCAATATCAGACTCCAGGAGGCTTTAAAATTCCCCCAGTGGTTCTGATAAGCAGTCAAAGAGTGGCTGGAGATGAATGAGTGTGTTTCTTAGTGCTATGGTTTGTTGACACGGCAGGAAATCCAAAGGAAAGTCTCATGGTCATGAAATCAGCTTTGGCAGAATGAAATAAAAAGTAAAAATTGAATTTGGAAGGGAAAGTGAGTGGCAGTGTTTCTCGAACTCTAGTGTGCATATGAATTAGTTGGGCTTATTAAAATGCAGGCTTTGAGTCAATGGTTTGTCTTTCTAACCGGCTTCCTGAGGCAGGCTGTGATGCCCCCATGCTTCACTCAGCACATTCTGCATAGGGTGGTGGGAGATGGGGTGGTGGTGGAGAAGGGAGTCCGACTTGCTCTTCCTGGCTGCAGCTTCTCCTAGCTGCAGCAAGGTTATCTGTCCTGCTTCTGACACAGGAGCTTGTTCTGAAGTGACAGTACAGCAACACCATGGAGTAACTTCTCTCTCTCTCTTTTTTCCGAATGAGGTATGACTCACAAACCAATTGAGAACCTTTTACTTCTAATGTCTTTAAGGGGAAAAAAAAAACAATAGTATTTTGTTCCACTTTCTGAACAGTTAAATTTAGGTTAACAAATAGGATTTGTTAAGTCTTAGAGATTAAAGAAAGATGCACTAGACAGTTTGCATCAAGGAATTTACACTCTTTCTGAGGAGACAGAAAATTAACAGCATTAGCACAAAATAGATGTGTAAGGAACACATGGAGGGAAAGACATCGATTAGGGATAAAGACTGCTTAGAAAACTCTCCTGGAAGATGTGTTCGAGCTGGCCCGAATGAATGAATAGGAATTTGATAAGTGAACAGGAAGGGTAAAGAACAGTTCGTGAACAAAGGCTTCCAGCAGGAGCTCTCACCATTGGCAAAGCATTTGTTGGCAAAATTAAAAAAGAAACACTTTCTGAGCATCCCAATTTCGGTCCAGTCACCAATGTTTCCCCCTTGGTGGTTTTTAAAGCATAGCTCGCATCAGATTAGAGTCACTGGAGATATGTGAGGTCATGAGGCTTGTTGAGATGGTTTAAAGTGTTTATAGGGCCGGGGGGGGGGAGGATTCTTGGTAAGACATCTTGATCCACTGCAGCATGGGACAGGTACTTTGTTATCACCAAAGGAGTATATTATGACAAAGTGAATGAAGGTTGTAAGGACTGTGCTTTGTAAGTATAGGGTTAGATTGAATTAGTCTCCCACCTGCAGGGGCAGCTCACTGCCTTGTATTACATCGATTTACTGAATGAGAAAGGAAGGACTGGCCACCCAGCTGGTGATGGGGGTTGGTTGGGTCAGTGGCCTTAGGTAGAAAGGAAGTCATATGTTTAGCATGGTTGGTGGGGTTCTCAACGGCAAAGATACTCAAAGTGTTTCCATAGACCAGTATCATAAAGCTGTGTACACGCACAGGGAGAGATAGAGATGGGAAAAGGGAGGAGAGAAAGAGAACTAAATCTGGATTTTTGAAAGAAGATCCACCCAGGCAATTCTTCCTGGTTGCTTATATGAAATGCTGGCATAAGAAAAAGACCACAAGATTCATAAATTGTTTACCTAAGTACATCCAGACTCACACGTACGCACCAGAAAAGTTGAGAAGGAAGCCAAGAAGTACGCAGAGATGGAGATGGGATGCTGATAGATGTCTCCTCATTGGAACACGTGGGAAACTGCTATGGAAGCTATGGAAGCTTCCCTTGCTGCCAGTGCAGGGTGCAGTGGAGGAAGGGCAGGGGTTTGGCAGCCATGCACGACTAGGATGGGTGCTGTGTTCAGGCCTTGAGTGGGATGTTGGCTCCAGAATGCGAGGTAAATGAGAAGCTACTGGAACATCCTGGGTAATGGAGCGATGGGTTGATGCCAAGCGAAGCTTCTAAGTCTATCATCATTCTTCCCTCTCTGGGGCAAGTTTGTCTTTCCATTTCGTACCCCTCTCATGCTCTTCTCGTGCCAATGGAAGAATGCTACTGGACATTTTCTGCATTAAAGGGCCTTTCTTTTTTGTTTTGTTTTGTTTTGTTTTGTTTTTTTCCAAACGGGGTTTCTCTGTGTAGCTTTGGAGTCTATCCTGGCACTCGTTCTGGAGACCAGGCTGGCCTCAAACTCACAGTGATGTGCCTGCCTCTGCATCCCAAGTGCTGGGATTAAAGGCATATGCCACCAACACGGGATTAAAGGGCTTTCTTAAAAATAAAAGAAAAATTTGTTTGTTTTTGAGACATTGTTTCACGATGTAGACCTGGCTAGCTTGTGACTCACAATACAGATCAAACTAGCCTCAAATTCACAGATAACAACCTGCCTCTGCCTCCAGAGTGCTGGGAGTAAGTGTTTGCATCACCATGCTTGGCTAAAGGGTTCATCTTCTCTCACCTTCTGCTTCTATATTTCATATTTCTTGTAACAACAGATTTGAATTTTTTGTTTTATGTGTTTATTAAGATGAGCTCTTTTCCCCTGTTATCTCCACCTCCCTCAAGCCCCTTAGCCATTCTTTAGGTTTCATCTTAAGCATTTCTTTTCTTGGTTAGCTAACTTTGTTTCTCCAGGCTGGTACCTAGTCCTCCTTTTTTTATGTGATGTACCCCAACTCACATTCCCTAGGAGCCTGTTGATCTCCTTGCATCTACCTCACTATCCTCTGAGGTCTATTTCTCATTTAAACCTTCTAATGGAACAGGGATCATTTCCAAGTTCACTGTTCACAAGCAGCAACCTCTCCATGGCCAGACACTAATACCATCTGAGCTCAGTGGCTTCGTGCTCATTGCAAACTATGTTGATGGGTGAAGAGTATGGACTCCATATAGCCACTGAGAAAATGTATCCCAAAGCCAAGGAGTACAAGCAGATGAGTCACTTTCCTACATCCCCTTGGAACAAACTCAGCCATATGACATTATCTCATAGGGGAAGGGGTTAGCCTAGCAGTGTACACCAAAGGAAAAAGAATTGGAGGGTCACAAACACATAGCACTTGGAGCCACACTCTGCTTTCTCTGGTTGATCTCAATAAAGCCTCAAAATATTGCGATGAGGGTGACTTACTCTATCACTGTACATAAGGCATTTTTTAAATAAGCTCTCCCTGTGTCTCTCTGCCTCAGTCTCTTTGCCTCTCTGTCTCTGTCTGTTTGTCTCTCTGAGTGTGTGGGGAGGTGCTGGGTCTCATGCGTGAAGGTTAAGTGCACACCCCAATGCCTTATAATTATGAAATTCAGGGCTCACAAACTTGCCAAGTAGCAGTTTTCACCATTCTAACTTCACAGATGAGGGAACAGAAGGACAAATTTAGCTTGCTTGCACAATAGGTGTATGTCCAGTTGATTTAGCATCAGAACAAATGTAGTCTGAGAGACATGTCCCTATATTATGCAGCCTCATAGTAAGAGGATGACGATAGGGACATAGTGAACTCAGTAGAGATGCCGGTAGATTTCCTGGTTACATGGGAGTGCTCAACTTCTAAGAGCCTCAGTATTGTCATTTGTAAGTTGGATTATTAATGTTACTCATCTTGTAAGTGGATTTTTCTGTCCTGACAGCCAGCTCCCACATCATGACACAGAGACTTATTATTAATTATGAAAACTCAGTTGATAGATTTGTTTCTAACTAACTCTTATAACTTAAATTAACCCATTTCTATTATCTGTGTGTTGCCATGTGACTCGTGGCATTTACCTGTCCTCCTGCATGTCTTGCTCCCTCTGTCTTGTCTATTGACTCTCCTTCTTCTCATTGTCCTGTGTGCCTGAAGAATCCTGCCTACCTATTGGCCATTCGGCTTTTTATTAAACCAATCAGAGTGACAAATCTTCACAGTGAACAAAAAGATTATTCCACAACACGTCTAGTGGGGTGGTTATATGATTAGCGTATTTATTTCATCAGTATCTTGGTATGGTATAGTTTTTATGCTTAATTCTAAGTGTGATACACAGTAATTATAAAACAAATATTATTCATAATATTTAATTGAGAAATTCCTGTGCATTCCTTGTGTTATTGATGATCACAGCTGTAGCCTGTTATCCCATCTCAGGTGTGCTTTCTCTCCAAATGTCTTGACACCCTCTTTGTGTTTTTATGTGGTTTTTCCCCAGAAAAAGGTCTGTATATGTTAAGAATCCTTACCTGGATGCTATGGATGAAGATATTCTCTACCACTTGGATTTAGGAACCAAAACACACAACCTTCCAGCAATGTTTGGGGATGTAAAGGTAAAAAATATTTTGAATGTCAGGAAAATGACTGTATTTCCTTTGCTGATTTTTCCTTCCCATTTTTCCCAAAGCAAACTTCACAACCTTGCCAAGAAACATGTCAGAGGCCCCAAAAGCACGGGAAGCCACTCTAATTTAGAATGAGGCATCATGAGCAATCATTTTTCTTCCCAACAAGACAGAAAGATTTCCAAACTAAATCCAATGCAAACATGATTACTTGGCCGCTGTGTTCCCTAGAGATAAATATAATTTTATTGACAATGCTGTTGGGTATTCAGAATTTATTATGTCTTAACAGATTCAGGTCACAACATATACATTTATTGCTGAACCTAATTCTCATCTTATTAAATTGTGAAAGAATTCAAGACTAATAGTGCTCTATTCTCTTCTCAAAAATGGCCATTGTCCATACTTTGTATCGTTAAGATTTTATTATGTTATAAGAAATATTTCATGAGAAAATTGTTTATAGGATAATGAGAGAATCATATTACTTTGTTACTTATTTTTATATTATACATAAATTGTAAAAGCAATTTTTACTCCTTATTTCAAATTAGGAAAACATAGAAAAGAGCATTCTGCTTTTAAAAATATACCTTATAGTCCTACTTTTTTTGTCCTACTTCTTAGACCTGGACATCATCTGCCCACTTTCTTTTCTTCCATTTCATTTATTCATTCCTTTGCTTTTTTCTATCAGCATATATTTATTCTACATGGAAAAGACATGTACAATAAGGACACTTTCTTACAAACACATAATGTGCTTTGAGCATATCAACTTCACACTGCTTCTTCCATTCCTTTTTAATGAAAAAATATTAAAATATTTATAATGAGACTGAGGGAATAGACTGGTGTAGTGGTGAAAGCCTGTATTCCCAAAATTTGGGAGGTTGAGGCAGGAAGATCAGAAGTTCACACTCAAGGTCATCTTTAGTTACATAGCAAGTTCAGGGTCAGCCTGGGATAAGCCACCTTAAAAAAAAAAAAAAAAGGTTTAATGATATAACTTGCCACGCTGTATCCTTTTGTTTAACATTATGTTATTACTACTTTCCCATTTATTCCATTTTGTTTGAAATCCATTGCTCATGGGGTCAAGAGGTGTTTCATAATTTATATATACTATTTCTAGCTTTTGTAGCAAATGTTTCCCATTAGAAACAGGACTCCAGTGGATAGTATTTCTTGTAAGGATTTTTCACATATAGGTATATTACTTTAGAATGATTCACAGATATGGTCGAAGGGAATGAACTCACAGTAGTTAGAAAGAGTTAAAGTTACTCCTGTGTGGCAGCGCTGGTACCAGACCAGGTTCTTCTAAGAACAGATCCCAGTTTCCCAGGGATGTTATTCATTGTGCGGGGTGAATTCTGAGTTGCAGGAAATCAGAATTCCCCAAAGTTTAAATGGGGAACATGTGAAAAAGAAGCTAAAGAGGGTGAGTTTAGGTAGAAGAAGAGAGGAAGGCAAAGAAGAAGGACAGAAGCAAGTGCATCAGGGATGCCCATTGTCTGTGCTCGGCAGCCCCCTCCCTCCATCTCTGAAGGAGCATGTGAGTGTGGGAGGGTTTCCAGGCAGCAGCACAGCCTGTGTCCCCACTGCTCTCCAGACTGCAGCTCCCTGCCCTTGTGTACCAGCTACCTTTTCTGCTTTACCTTTTTTATGTAACCTCTGTCACTTTGACTGAGTCTAATTTTGAGGTTCTAGGAATCTTTGAACAAGTCAACTTTGGTACTCATTAACTGGACTGGACTGAGTTCAAATGCTAGGTGTGAGGTTCATGCCTCACAGTGACTTCCCCGAGACCTTTATTTAAGGATGGCTGTTTGGAACAGAGGATTGCCATACTAACAAACGAAGGTGCACTCTATTTAATACATTAAAACATCAAAAAGATAGATGTTTTGATACACGGTGACTATGTGTGTGTGTGTGTGTGTGTGTGTGTGTGTGTGTGTGTGTGTATGTGTGTCTCCCCTACTGTCCATGGACTGCCTGCTTTGTATATGATCCTACCCAGTCCCCACAATGGAGACTCTTCCTTCTTTTCTTCTACCTATGTTCCTGTAATCAAAGCACATGGGATGTGTAGGCAGGAGGGTCAGGAGTTGAAGTCTGGCTTTGGTTACATTAGAAACTACATATTATCTTCCATATACAAAGGAGGACACTAGGGTCCAATGAATATATAGTGTTAAAACACAACTGTTATCTCTGTGCATTCAAGACCAGTCTGGTCTACAGAGCCAAGTTCCACAATAGGACTGTTAAACAGAGAAACCCTGTTTCAGACAACAAGCAGTAAATAAATAAATAAATAAATAAATAAATATATTTGAGGGAGGCATAAGGCAGCCAGCAAGTGAAAAAGCTGAAGTTAAACCCAGGTTTCCCTGATGAAACAGTTTCTGGTTCTTACGATATATTTTTTTTCAACACTGCATTTGTGACTCCCCTAGTTATTGATAAATCATGGGATCAATGGCTTTGTTTTAGGGATGAGACTCATACATGTTATGTGCAGAAACACAAGAATGCGTATGGTCTCATCTCTGTTGGTCTCATCACCTGAAATTGGAACTTGATGTTTTTACTTCTCTACCTGACTGAATTTTCATCAACACTTTTGCCACACTCTGTTTCTCAGAACTGCTTAGCTGCTCCCACCCACCAATACAGTCAGTTGGGTAACACACATTTTAAATTAGAATAGTTTGTCTCTTTAGAGAGCAGCCCCAGTCACAGACCCAATTTGACGGATAGGAGGCAAAAGTGTGTTTAGTTTAGGATCAGAACAGAAACAGAATTTGGGGAGAGGAAGATAAAATCGTCAGTCTTGTTATAGATTCCATGCTCAGAAATGTACCTTCATCCTGCACTCTCTTGTCCCAGAGTGAGAACATTGTAGGTTTGATTTCTTGACTCAACCATAAGTCTCAGATCAGCAATTCTGATTACAAAGCAAGGACATAACTCACCAATACCTAAAAATTCAACCTTACTCCACACAAGATGGTGATAATTATTATCAATACTAACTTCAAAGGGAGATAAGATAGTAGGGCATACCATTTAAATATGGAAGAGCATTTAAATATGGTGGTGCACGCCCTCAGTCAAAGCCCATGGGAGATGTAGGCATGGGGATCAGGAATTCAAGCCTACATAGTGAGTCCAAAACCAACTTGGATTAAATGGGATCTTGTCTTAAACAAATAAATGTACAGGGAAAAGAAAGCAAATCTAAAGAACTCTTGACAGTCACCTTTATTCCTTTGTATCTTTCCTATATTTTGAAGGATTTTCCTACATGGTATTACATAGTCTCAGAGGCCTAATACAATGTAAGTTGATCTTCAATTCATAACAAGCCTAAAGCAGGTGCACCTGGCTGATGACTGGCCAGGTGGAGTGGAGGTCCCAAGACCCGGTCCCTGGGTGTCGACTTCCATCCAGCAGACAGCAGAAGTTAGGTACAATATATCCATCCTCCTTGAGAGATTGGAGAGGGGGTGCATCAGTGCACTAGGCTGGAAGTGGAGCACTTCACTTCTGCTCATATTCTAGTGGCTGGGACTCGGGCATATGGCCTTTCCACCTGGGAAATCAACATTGACTGTGAACCCAGAAAGAGGAAAGAGTCTTGGCATATAACTTGTCAGTGTCTGCCATAGTCATTGGCGATAGAAACAATTGAAAAATATGGTAGAGGTGCTAGAAAGATAGTTTTCAAATTCAATATTCAAATATATACTTATCATGTCTTTAACAGCAGGTTCCCTCAGTTGCCTACTGTTCTTTGTATTGGATTGAGGCCTCATGGGCTTTTCTCCATCTTCTGTAGGCACACCTGTAGCCAGCCCCTAAGTAGGCGTGGCTACAGCTTCCCCTATAATCTTCTTTTACATGCCCTTTGCTGTTGTCCTTGTTCACCTCACGTTTGGGTAGTAATGTCCGTAAGACTTTATGAGTACAGCTTCTGATGTTACTAGGCGATACAGTTTCCCAGCAAACTCCCTCATCCTCTGGATCTTGCAATATTTCCACTACTTATTCCACAATATTCCCTGAACCTTAGGTGTAGGAATTGTTTTAGATGTAGCCACTGGGACTGTGCCCCACAACTCTGCATTTTGACTAGTTGTGGTTCTCTATAGTGTTCCCAGTATGCTGCAAAGAGAATTGCTTTGACAAGGGGTAAAAACTACATTTATCTGTGGCTATAAGGACTAATGTTTGTAGATTGTTGTCAGGGTTATGCTGGCTTAGTAAATTAGTGGCTGTAGATTCTCCTCCAGTAACCATGACTTTCCTAGCTCTGAGTAGTTGGCTAGGTTTCCAGTACAAATGTTTTCCCTCTTGTTGGATGGGTCTTAAGTCCAATTAGAGAGCTAGTGGTTACTGCCAAGGCATGTGTGCCACTACTGCACCCTTAAGGTAACTATGCCATAGCGGTCATTGATGCGATTCACAGGCATCATAGCTAGATAGGGTTGTGGGTTTCCCCCTCCTTTAGACATTTGCATGCTGTCTTCTGGTACCATGAAAGCTCATCTTCAGGTAGGGGCCATTCAGCACCAGCTCAGGATGCTCTGGGCCATGCTTCTGAAATGCATGTTGTCTTCAGAATTTTAAGTTACATGGAAAATCATTGCTTCCTAAGACTTAATAATATGCATTCAAAATGTTTATAGTCCTTCTTAATGCACAAGACACATAAACTGCATTTATGCTCTAAATTAATGCAACATAGCAAAATTATTTAAGCTACTGGAGACATTGGAAAGTGAATTTATTCTGGAAATCATCAGGCAAAGTCTTGAACATACTTATATAATGCTTCTTCTTCCTGCCCAATGTATTTCTACTTCCTTTGATAAATCCTGGACAAAGATCATTTTGTTTGGAATGTAAATCACAGCCAGTGGCACTGAAGGCCGATGTTGGCTGGTGGTCGTCAGTGGGATGTTACTCTCATTAAAGCAGCCAGATTGCAATTGTGTCTGCAAGTGATACTTGGTTAGTCTGATTTAGCAGGAATTGTCAGGAACTAGCCTGCTTCTGGACAGGCCCATCATCTTTATGCCTCCAGAAATATGCAGAAGTTACTCTTGACTGCGTATATACCTAAGTTCAAAGCAGAACACAGACTGAAAACTATTTTAACATCTGTTTTGGTTTTATGGTCAATCCGAATTGTTGTCATTTAGATGGACTGGCACCACACACTGAAGTTATTTTCAAACTACTGTATTTTGTGTATAAAAAGGGTCCTCTTTGTACTTAGACTTGACTTACTCATAGCAAGAAAGTGCTTAACTACTTATAGCAACCAAGGAGGAAATCCATGAATAATTAATAGTAACCAAAGCTCACCTTAAACAATGGCCCTAGCCTGGCTCTCTTGGCTCTAACCATGGTGACTGACTCCCATGGTTCATTACTACCTTAACACCCTATCAGAATATCTGTTAAGACATTGCAGAAAAGACAACTGTGAGGGTAGATGACATGAAGAGTGCCCAGACAAAAAGAATAATTATGTCCTGTGATTGAGATTGACTGTCTGCTCCCCAGGAATTATTGTTAAATGGAAACAGGATGCATTATGCAATCAGACCACCCACCACTTCTGTTATCTTTTGCACCAGGGGTACCCACTCTACAACCTCAGGAATTCTCCAGACATCCCTGTGAATGTCCTTGCTAGCCTTCTTTGGATCCTCTGCTCAGTGCTGTCCACATCAGCCAGGCACCACTAAACAGGAAACTTGATTCAGCTTCATTTCTACTGAATTCTGCAATAGAGAGATGTGAGCTCAAAAGGCAGGCCAGGGCAGTGTTGCCTGATATGAAAATTCTTCATTTTGTGGTCAATTAGAAGGTACCTGCATCCATGCATGCTCCTTTTTCATGTTCAATCTCACTTCATCCTGATTAAACCCGAGAGCACTGAAGATGGTGGTCTGGGGAATATAAAGGTTTCATGTACCACTGAGCAAGTTACTTAACCAGTGATGAGCCAGGTTTGCCTGCTACGTTCAAATGGCGGCTTTCCAGTATTCCTTGGCATTTGCTTTCTGGGCTTCACTCCATACACCACACCCCTTACACCACACGGCATACACCACACCACATACACCACACTGTATGCTACACACACACACACACACACACACACACACACACACACACACACCACATCTCTTACACTACATGGCACCACACTTGCCCCATACCGTGTGGCTTCTGTTTCTGAGCAGCTGTCTGCCAGACCACTTTCTGTGTGCTCCTGGCTTCAAACGCTTTGCTTGTTCTCTGTTTCTGACCCCTGCCTGGTGCTCACTCATGTAGGCTAGCAACAGGCCACTCTGCTCCCCTCTCTCTGGAATATTCTCTTATCCTTGGGGTTGATGTATCCCTAACAAGTTGTGACATCAGCAATTATAATTTTCTTTTGAGACAGGTTCTTACTGTGTGGTGCAGTCCAAATGCACTATGCAGTCAAGGTTGTTCTCAAACCCACAATTCTCTAACCTCAGAATGTTGCTTGTAGGCATGTCTTACCATGCCTAACTGCCAATGATCACCATATTTTATTAGATATGACAACATTTTACAGAAATATCTACCTTAAAGTCAGATAATAAGATAACAAAAACAAATTAGTGGGGTAGATGAAACACTGCATTCAAGTTCTGAACTTACAATAACAAGCCCTGCTCCATGATGAGTTTTTCTCAGTAAAGAGCAGAAAAATCTTGAGATGAATCCTGTCAAGCTTGAAGTTATCCCAGCACAGTTAAAGTAAAAGCTTATTGTTAGGGTGGATGATCAGAAAACACAGTAAAATTGATAGCTGTCCCTTTGTTTTTCCCTCGCTTATATTCCACATCCTCTGGACTCGACACCAACCATCTGTCCTATGAGTGCACACCACTAGGGGAATTATATCAATAATGATGTTGGCTGATGCTACTATAAGCAAAATCACCAGGAAATACCTCCTTGAACAATGTCAACACTTAGGATTTTCTTCACTAGATTAGTACATAACTCATTGCACTTAGTTGACTTCTTTCAGGTTAATGATGTAAATGAGCCAAATTCTGACCCCAACCAGGACATCTACACATGCTCAGAAGTAAATTAACTGTACAACAAAAATAAAAACAATAGAATCGAATGCTGACCCTTGCTCTTATAATAGTGAGGCACCTGTTTCTTCTTATTGACAGTTCGTCTGCGTTGGTGGGAGTCCCAACAGAATGAAAGCATTTGCACAGTTTATGCACAAGGAACTCCAGTTGGAGGGAGATGGGGAAGGCATTGAAGACATCTGTGCGGGGACAGACAGATATTGCATGTTCAAAACAGGCCCTGTGCTCTCCATCAGTGTAAGTATGGGAAAGCTGCAGGCCAGCTACCTTTTGCAGGCTGGACTCCAAACCGGGACCATCTGAACACAGTACTCCCCCACCTCCCACCTCTGCCTTACACTAGGCATCCAAGTGAAGAAATTGACACAACTGGAGAAGGTTTTCAGGTCAGGGCAGAGTATGCAGGGTCACCACCTGCCTTTACACTTACTATTTAACTATTTGAAGAAGAACAACACTCTTCACAGTCCACCCATCTTTCTATTCTTAACTGATTAACATGCTTCCCTCCCCAGCCATTTTCTTTCTCTGTCCTTTATCCAGCTTTAGTAAAGGCCAGTCCCTGGCATCATTAGAATTTAACATGAGTAAGCTTGCTTAAAAGCTTCAAGTGTCTTTCCATGGAGCTCTTGTGACATTCTAGCCTCTCTTTAGAGCCCAATAGATGTCCTGGACACAGTGTGTCTAAAGACGAATTGAAAGCCAAATGCTTCTCCCAGCAGTGGCAAGGATTCAGAAGGGTGTCTGTACACAGTCACCCTCTCTGCCTGTCTCAGCTCTCCACACACGACTGTGTTCTGAAGCAAAACTCCGAGTCTGTTGTGTATTTGGATATGGTAGTCGGCTTAAGAGATACGGTAGTCCGATGGGGATAGTAAGACCTGCATAGATGAGGCAATTCTGAAGACCTCAGTTGTAAATGCCCTCTATCTCAGGGGACAGTCATGATTCATTGATCCCTCAGATTACTCATATTACTCAGTGATGGAATGTAATGTGAGCTGGGAAGGGTAACAGAAGAAAACATATATAATACGATTGTGGTGGTGAAGTTGATCCTCTCTCTAGACCAAGAGTGTCTGAAACCTGTTTTGGCTTCTCAAAGCAGAATCCATTCATTCATTAATTTGTTCATTCCATAAAAAATTATAGACTATCTGCCTTAGAAGAAGCTAAATATTCACTGATATTGTCCTATTAATTTTCAGTTAAAATCCTTTGAACTATATTATTTGCTCCATTTTGCACAGTAAATGGAGAAAGAAAAAAGTAAAATTTATCTAAAAAGTGAAACTACTCCAAATGATTAGAAATGATTCATCATAAGGCAGAGTCAAAAGTAACTGAATCAATGTCCATAAACTGAATACACACACACACACACACACACACACACACACACACACACACACACACACACACACAATACTAGATAGGCATGGGATTCCCAGTAGAGACCTCTGCAAATCTACAGTAGCTACTGTAGAGAGAGAGACAGACACACAGAGAGAGACATAGAGAGAAAGAGACACAGAGACACACAGAGAGAATTTTAAGAGAAACATGAGTCTATTTATAATTTTATCTTCAGACTGAAAAATAAGTGCTGATCCTAGAGTTAACAAATGGCTCATTTGGAAGGAACCTAAGAGATAAAATAATATCTCATCCTCTAATTTACAGTTGAAGCAAATATTTATTAATTCATTGCAGAGCCAGCGCCAAGGCCCCAAACTTGTTAATCTTGGACACACAAATCAATACAGATTTGATTCCTGGATCCAGGAGGTTTACAAAGCTTTCAGAAATCGGGGCTTATTGAATGGGGGAAAATGGTGACCCTAGAGGCCCTCAGTTTCCACAGATTAATATTCTTGATAATGGGAAGGAGAGGGAGCTCAGGTTGACATCATTACCAAAGCTCTAGTGGTTTTCCAAAGTCTCTACGGCCGTGGATCAATATTCTTCCACCATGTTAGAAGTGAAGTAGCTACTAATAAAACTCAGCTCCAGTTCCTACAAGTTACAGCATGGAAGATCTTTCTGAAGCTTTGTTAGACGTAACAGAAATACCAGAAATGGCTAAATCCTCTGGCCTGTGTTGATTGCCCCCTAGTCTGGTGACTGACTGTTTTGACATAAATGCTGAATTAAACCAGGCTGTGGTCATGATCTATGGCAATTCACATATTCAGCATAAGTTTTAAACTCATTGGAGTGAAATAAGACTGGTGAAAGGGCATCCAAAATTATGTTTTTTCAGTTGTATGTCAATTGTGTATAGGGGAGGCAGCCTCCTCACATAAGCTCATTGAAAAGAGCCTCACGGGAGACAAGAGCTGACACCACCCTGGCACACCTGAACTCTGCCATCCCACCTCTGTTCTTGACAGTGAGGGGCTCAGTTTAACTGGCAGTAGGATGCCTCTCTCTAGTCCTCACAGATGGACACAGCTATCAGCATGCCATGAAAGCATCACTTAGAGATGACTTATGTTTTCCCAAGCATGGGCACACTCTTATGATTATGTAAATTTATACAAGGGCTGTTAACTTGTAAAGAAGAAAAAATACGTCCTGCTCACTTATGCATGTGTGAGATGTGTAATGACTCTCTCCTCTCTCAACAGCATGGGATGGGCATCCCTTCCATTTCTATTATGCTCCATGAACTCATCAAATTACTCCACCATGCACGCTGCTGTGACGTTACCATCATCAGAATCGGAACGTCAGGGGGAATTGGTGAGATGGATTGTTTTCTACCATTAAAGCTGACTAATTCGTCATACATCTTGGTGTTAATCCACAGCACACCAACATGTATAGAAGCCAACAGAATCCAGATGGGCTGCAAAGTACTGGGAGGCGGGACTTAAGGATTTAGCTCCTCTCTCTCTCTCTCTTTCTCTCTCTCTCTCTCACGTGTGTGTGTGTGTGTGTGTGTGTGTGTGTGTGTGTGTGTGTGTGTGTGCAATTCTACTTTTGTTCATATAAAGAAGAATTATTAGAAAGTATGGTTTTATGGTATAGCTTGTTTCTTTGTTGTTATCATAAAAGACTGACCAAAATCAACATGGGCAGGACAGGACTTATATATGGCTTTACAGTCCATCATTGAGGAAATACAAGGCAAATAATCAAACAGGAATCTGGAGGCAAAAACTGAAGCTAAGGCCATGGTGGAATAAATAGGCTATTCTTATGGAGGCCGTTCCTCAGTTGAGGCTCCCTCTTCCCAGGTGACTTTAGTTTGAATCAAGTTGATAAAAACTTACCAGCACATGATAAGAGCAGGTTTTGGGCCTGAAAAGTTTTATGTGAAGGGAATGAGGGTGTTTGGGTAAAGAAAATTACAAGAATTTGCCTGTCTTATCTACTAAGTATCAGACCTTATAGCAACTAGCAAAATGTTGCTTTGGGCTCTTCTTAGTGGTTATCACTGCCCTTCTCTTCCCTGTGTCTTTCACTCAACTGCATAGTAAAAGGACTATACGGGCATTTAGGGAAGGTCTGGGACTACCTAAGTTCATCCAAGAGCCTCCTGCCTCACTTCTATCATTCCTTAAGGATCAAATCTTGTCAAGGTGTCATTTTACCATGACAGTGTAGGAAAATGCAGACACACCATTCTAAGTGGAAAAGTTTGATTGACAGAGTGACAGGACTACATGGTTACACAATAGGGAGTGAGCTTTTAAAAGACAAGCTCCTTAGCATTGATCAAGTAACCATTTTAGAGTGAGAGGAGATCTCAAAAATCCTCAAAGGACATGAGTCACAGATGGCTCTTCACGAAGATCAAGCAAGTTAAAAAGGACCAGAGCCTCTCTAGAGCTATAATCCAAGAACAAAGTCAGTCAAAACCCCTCGTATGTGGACAAAAAAATTGTGAATGTTCTTCCAAATAGAAATGGAGATATGCAATCAGTGTTGATCAGACATCCTTCTGGACTGCGGTTTATCCAACAGCTTCCCAAATAATCAATTTCAAGGAACAACGTGCCTGGGAAAGACATGGATACCATAATTAAGGCTGCTTGTAATTCTTGGTTTGTGGGATACAATGATTTGCCTTCTGAGCTCATAGCTATACATTCGGTCCTCCTGACTGCTGCAATTGTCACTTGATATGAAACAAGTCTTCTGCAAGTCGCTCTAGTGACCTTCCAAATGATCCCAAATGGTCGTGTGTTTCATGATAACATGGTGCAGACAACAATAAGATAGTACTAACAGCATGATGGAGGCCTATAAACAGAGGCAAATTAACCATTGTGTCGATGCAAACAGCTTCATTTCAGAGCTGCATCTTCATTGCTAATGCTGTAACTAAGACAGGTTCATTTGCTTTGTTTGAAGCAACACTGTATATGAAGATGGAAAATACAGATATTACTTATTCTTTTACTGACATGATTATTTCTTAACTAAGAAAATAACTTGGTAAGGGAAAGATACACAGCTAAATAACATTTTTGGACAAAAATTCTATAAATGTTTCTTGGATGTATCCACATGTTAAGACAGTTAGAGGAAAGCACGTTTTCAACTTCCTTTTCAATGTCTTGGGACACTCTGACCAAGATAAGAAGTCCCTTGATTGACTTCCTTAAGATGCCTCTGACTAACCAGAGCTGTGTCTTCAGAGGCTACTGTGATGTTTAGCTTCAACTGTCAGTTTGACACAATCTAGCATCCATTGGCAATAGTTGCAGAGAGGGATTGGGTTGGCCTGTGGGTGTATCTGTTTGGAGAATATCTTGATTAAATTCACTGATGTGGTGTGACCATAGGCAGGGGGTCCTGAATCATGCAGGAGTAGAGGAAAAGAGTTGAACACAAGCAAGCAAACAAGTACATGTACATGTATTTTTTTCTCTGTTCTTGACTGTGGATGAGACTGGCTGCTTCTAATTCTTGCCTTATCTTCCCCATACTGATGTATTATAACCTGCTATTGTAAACCCCATAAACCTAGCCTCCCTGATTTTGTCTGGGTGTTTTATTACAACAACATAAATTAAACTAGAACAGCTGCCTCAGGTCTCTAGCTAAAAATTTAAAGTGTTCTGTAGCTAACTCTAGTTTGGCATATTGGAATTTATACCAAACAGGATGAGTCTGTACTCCATATCCAGGGTTGTTAAAACATTTTCTGTGAAGTTCCAGGTAGTAAAAGTTCTGGGCTTTGCAAACTATGCACTTTCTGTTGCTACTTTTTTTCCTCCATTTTTTTTAAATTAGAAACAAGATTATTTTTACATGCCTCCCCTCTTCCACTGCCCCCCCTCAACTAACACCCTACCTATCCCATACCCTTTCTGCTCCCCAGGGAGGGTGAGTCCTTCTATAGGGGGGTCTTCAGAGTCTGTCATGTCCTTTGAGATAGGGCCTAGGCCCTCTCCCATGTGTCTTGGCTCAGGGATTATCCCTCTATGTGAAATGGGTTCCCTAAGTCCATTCCTATGCTAAGGATAAGTACTGATCTACCTACAAAAGGCCCCATAGATTTCCGAGGTCTCCTCACTGACACCCACGTTCATGGTGTCTGGATCAGTCTCATCCTGGTTTCCTAGCTATCAGTCTGGGGACCAAGAGCTCCCCCTTGTTCAGGTCAGCTGTTTCTGTGAGTTTCACCAGCCTGGTCTTGATTCCTTTGCTCATCACTCCTTCTCTACAACTGGATTTCAGTTCAGTGATTAGCTGTGGGTGTCTGCTTCTACTTCCACCAGCTGCTGGATGAAGGCTAAAGGATGGCAGATAAGTTAGTCATCAATCTCATTATCAGGGAAGGGTATTTAAGGTAGCCTCTTCTCTGTTGCTTAGCTTGTTAGTTGGTGTCATTCTTGTAGATCTCCAGACATTTCCTTAGTGCCTGATTTCTCTTTAAACCTATAATGTCTCCCTCTATAATGGTATCTCTCATCTTGCTCTCCTCTATTCTTCCCCCAACTCAACCTTCCTGCTTCCTCATATCCTCCTTTCCCCTCCTCTTCTCCCCTTCTCATTCTCCTAGCTCCCTCTCCCCTCCCCCCATGCTCCCAATTTGCTCAGGAGATCTTGTCCCTTTCCCCTTCTCTGGGGGACCATTTATGTCTCTCGTAGAGTCCTCCTTGTTTCCCATGTTGCTACTTCTTAATGCCACATCATAGTTCAGATATAGCAAGGACAGTATGAAAATGAATGCATGATCACGTTGCAACAAAGCTTCATTTACTAAGACAGAGTTTGCAGGCCTGTGTCGTGCGACATCTTTATAGAACCATGTACTCACTGACCATATTTCTACTGAATCCTCATGATGTGATAGGCACAGCACCAGACCCGGGGAGAGAGCTATGAAGGACACTGCTCTTAACCTGATACAACTTGTATTCCAGTAGAAAATTAGACAAAGAAATGACTGTAAAATGTGTGATGAGTGTTCGGAGACAGACTGCCTAGGGAACCATCTAGATACACCTTCTTTCTCGGGCTTTCAGTAGAAATCAGGACAAATCAAAAGGTGGGTCCTGGAACATCCCAGGAAACTCACTGTAACCTATCTATCTATTACCTTTTACTTATTTATGCTTATGTCGTTGGTTCTCCCTCTATGGCTCAGACTTTTGGAAAGGAGTGACTCCAGATGACAGCTGAAGAATGCTGGCATCAGTGAAATGAAAGGGAGTCGGGAGAACAAGAATACATCCAGGCAGGGAGAGGAGGAGTTGACAGAAAATGGCATCTCAGTGGGCCCAGGCCCCTCGAGCAAGCCAGACTTTGCAGCAATGGAAGGTCAGCCAAGAGACCTAATTTGCATGGAGTCAGGGAGAAAAAGGAGGGTATGTGATGAGAGTCTGAAGGAAGAGTGGAGAGAGCTGCCAAGAAATTATAGTAATCCAGGAGTCTGCAGGAAGATTAAATATCAAGTAGTCACATCACTTTGTGAAAGCTGCTTGCTGGCAGGCTCATTTAGTTTATTCCTGACCTAATTTATTCAAATTTGAGCCTGAAGGCTGGCACTAATTTGCATGTCCAAGAGTCATGTTTGTCTTGAAATCTAAACCCCACCACACTGTAAATGCGAATCTGGACAGACAGCCAATGAAAATGCCTGTTCTAAAGGTTATTTGATTGCACACAGAAAAAAAAATTCTTAAAGATGAAAGCAGGGGAAACTTTAACAAACAGCATTAATTAATGCTGACAGAATAGGTTATATACTACATGTCACAGAAGTCAACTCTGAGCAATCTTCTGGGATCACTTATTTATTCCATATTGCAGGAATTGCCCCAGGGTCTGTCGTAATAACAGATATAGCTGTAGACTCCTTCTTCAAGCCTCGGTTTGAGCAGGTCATCTTGGACAACGTGGTCACCCGAAGCACTGAACTTGACAAGGAACTGGCTACGGATTTGCTCAACTGTAGCAGAGAGATCCCCAACTTCCCAACCCTCATTGGACACACGATGTGTACCTATGATTTTTATGAAGGTGAGAATCCTTTACACACCACGAAGGCAGTAGAAAAACACCAGCAGTTTGTTATCCAAACCCATGATTTATATTAAAACTGCATACCAGCAAATTAATAGTGCAGAGTTTCAAGGGGAAGCAAATAGCCTTTTTTACTTACTAAAGCGTAGCAACATGAGGGCTTAATAAGCAGCTGAGAAACACACAGAATGAGTTGGTACTGAGAATGGGTTTAATCCTCTATCAGTTTGAATACTAAAATGCAATTAGTGGCATTGACAGCATCTGCTCTCTGCTTGTGACTTTTACTTAGATTGCTGAGTCTAAGACAGAGAAATATGCTGGTTCTGTGTTTCTGTCATTCCCCTGAACCCCAGGTGAGAAGTAAGACCAGGAAATGGGGAGAAGAATTTCATTAAACAGATCCTGTGGGGAGGTGATGGTCTCTAGGTGGAGCCTTTATCCCACAGCCAAGAGTATAGGGTCTCCACACCTAGAGTAGAGTTAAGCTGAAGGTCATTTGCCATACAGCAGCTCTTGTTCCAAGGGATGAGGGGCAAAGGCAAAAGAAAAACAAGATGAAACAAGCCCCAAGGACAAACTCTGTTCACTACAGAAGAATCTACACTGCCTTGATGTCATAGTACTGGCTTTCAGCAACCCTGGCACTGTAGTTGCGTTCGTAGAATAACCATAGTTAATCTGAAGATTTCACTAGCAATTTCTTTTACTTTTCTCTAGATTGAAGTATATGTATTGCTTTAAGAATCTAAAAGCTACACATGGAGATAGGTTGCATTCTGTTTGTGTGTGTTCAGGTTAGTAAAGATGTCTGAGGTATTGATATCATAGGCAGGGAAGTAGGTGGACAGATTGAGAGACCCTGTTCTAGGATGTTGACTCTTAGGCCCTTCATTTAGAGGGCCACCACCCATGCATTCGAGTCACAGCTCATAAACAGAAGCCTGGCGGAGTCAGTGTTTCCATTGGCCTGTGAGATACTGTTCCAACTGTGAATTATTTTGCCAACATTTGTAATTTCTGGAACTTTTCATATGAGAATTCATATTTTTGGCTTCTTGACATGACATAAAGTAGGGTTAAAAGTAAAAAATTGAACTATTAGTGCCGCCTCACCAGTGACCACCAGACCTCTGCCCACACCTGGAGGGACAGGACTTTGATAATAAAACCCTTAAACTCACAAATCAAAAAAAAATGGAAAAAAGAAAAAAATGCTATATTCATAACAGCCCTGGAAAGCCCTGGCTCAATCTAGGGCTACTTATGGTAGGTGAAGTGAGGCAACACAGATCTGCCTAGGCCGACCTCACATTCTCATTACCCACTGGGCCCTGTGGGTTTGACTCAGCCTAAATAATGCCGGTAGAAGTGTTGGCAGGCAGGAGCAAGGAGGAGAGAAGGAACAGGCAAAGGTTGACTGCCAGGACAGAAGCCACAGAGAACAGGGCCTAAGGAGGGGAAAGACTTCAGGAAGGACTGTACAAGCAATGGATGGCAACTGGCTTCCACCCAGGGACTGCTGGGTGGGAAAAGTTGGGATACACACAGGGCAGGGGTGGGAGACGAGGAGGTAACATCAGACTGTTGTTCTCCACCTCCTTCTGTCACTACTGGTAAACCTGGTGAAATTAAATAAACCAGAAATAACAGGAACACTCCGGAAGGGAAAACTTGAGTGAAGGGTTAGTATGAAGTCTGGGAAGTGTGTAAGGGACAAAGGACACACCAGCTGCCTATGTCTGGCTGTGGTGGTCCTATGGAGAGTGGCAGTGTCCAAACCATTTGACTCAGGAGCATCACTGAAATATGAAGCCCCTCACCACCCCCTGTCTCCACCTGGTCTGTCTCACCTGTTACTGCAGCAACCTAAGTTTCTCCTCAAAGGACCACTTTATCTGTGACCCCCTTGCCCTATTCCTGAGTTTCCCCCTGCCCCTTAGAACTGGGCACTCCTTCCTGTACAGAATTCTACCCTTTATATGAGATTTGAGCCAGGTGCTGCCATGCTCTACAGTCCTTGGGAAGAAAGATTCAGCAGCCAGGTTAATTCCAGAGAGGAGACTCACTTAAGAGGTAGGGAAGTGCTCAGCACTGCATCACTGGACAGTCTTCTGATGAGGCTGCTGCCATGGTGGTGAGACACCAGCCACTAAATTCCTCCATCCTCTTTCAGGCCAGGGCCACCTCGATGGAGCATTATGTTCCTTTTCAAGAGAAAAAAAGCTAGACTACTTGAAGAGAGCATACAAAGCTGGAGTCAGGAACATCGAGATGGAGTCGACGGTGTTCGCTGCCATGTGTGGACTGTGTGGTCTGAGAGGTAAACTTCTTGCAATTGCCAAGGGCCCCCACTCTTTCACAAAGGCATCTTATGTTCATTCTTCAGGAGAAGGAAAGGGGGCCCAGATAAATTTTGTTTTGTGTTGAATGCATGCCATAAGATTATTCCTAGGATACATTATCTATAGTGTTTTATGAGCAGGTAGCACATTGTTCTTATCATGGGTATGAGGAAATAGCTCAAGGATCAAAAATCCACGGGCGGCACGTGCTGGTCGATGATGTAGCTAGCACTCAACTGCAAGTTCATTGTTCTCTATCTTTGTAGTGACTGCTATTTCTACCATAATGGAATTTGTTGAGACAGGATGCAAATGAGAGGTTCCTAAAATAGTCAATGAGTCGTAATTTTAATTAGCATGGTCAGGAAAAGGTAGGAGGAGAAGGTGCCATTTGGGAAAGGCCACATGGGAACCTGGGAAGCACGTTCCGGAAAGTGTAAAGGTAGAGCTAAATATATCAGGAGCACACAGGTGTGCTGCAGGAACAGGTGGAGGCAGGTGCTGGGAGGAATGGTGAGAGGTGTGAGGTGTCGGAGAGATGGGCAGGTTGCGTGCAGCACTGTTAAAACTTTGACTTTCTGTCTAGAAACAGGGAGGCACCAGAGAGCTCAGAGTAGAGAGGTTTCAATGGACTTTCTCTGGATTCTGAGCTGGGAAGAAACTAATGGGGCCAGAGCAGAAGCGAGAAGAAGAATGAAAAAGGCCAGGATAGCTTCTAGCAAAGTATGAAGGGCCAAGGTGATAGCAGAGGGTAGTGAGATGCAGTCAGGCTCTGCAAGGGTTCAAAAGAGAAACCCCAGCAGAACTGCTGACAATTCAGTGTGAGTTTTAGGGTAGAGGCGGGGCCCCAAGGATACTGGGAAGAGTGAGCTTGTCACAACAGGGACAGAATATGTTCAGGAGACGATTTGGTGGCAGTGACATGCAAATGGAGGTCAGGTAAGCAGGTGGACTTTTGACTGGGGCTCAGATGGAGGGTTTGGATTGTAAGAGTAACCTTATAAGTTGATGGTGTAAAGATGGCATTGAAAGTGAATACAGTAGATGAGATGTGCGAGCATAGACATAGACAGGCTGAGACCAAAGTTAAAAGTTAGAGAAGACTCCAAAGAGGTGTGATCAGTGATGTTGGCAGAACACCAGGAGAGTATTCTCTGCTGCCCAGAGAGGGGAAAAAACTTCCCAAAAGAACCTTGAAGTCTAACATTTGTCCTTATAGCCAATACATTTAGTATGTTATAAATGTTTGCACACATGGAAACATTTCTGAGAATGGACTTTGGAGTAAAGAGATTTTATAAGGAGATTAGTTGAAAGACACTCTCCTTAGCTAGTCTTACTTGGGATACATGTACATGACAATCCCTCTACTACACGGCTGAACAACTAACTACAAGTTCTTCCTCATGCTGTTTAATTGTTCCCCTTTCATATGTATGTGTGTGATGTGTATATATGTAGCATGTTAGCATATATATGGGCACATGTGTAGGAGTGTGCCTGTCATGCGGAAGCCGGAGATCAGGGATTTGCCTCAGTTGCCGCTCTATTTCAGTCACACCCTGAGCTCACTGACATGGCTAGTTCTGTTGACCAGAATGCTCCTGGAAAAACATTTTCTCTGCTTTCTGAGACTACAATTACAGGCAGCTCTCCACATTTACCAGGCATTTAGTTAGGTTTGCACGGCAAGTGTTTTAACCGGAGCCATCTTCCCAGACTCTACCCCACCCCATCTCAAATGCTCACTTTCAGAGAAACCATAGACTCTGCTTTCCCCTAAGCAAGTTAGCAAGAGCAGGGCAACTTGGCCTCACTTGAGCAGCAATGCAGAAGATCTCTTCACCAGGAAAGACCTTCTGGGTTTCTTTAATATGGAAACAAGTGACCACTTAACGAGTATCACTGCAAACATGTAAATGAGCAGAATTGGGTAATCAATATAGTCAAGTGTAAAATGCTGAGCCAACAGGCTGCCAGGTGTAAGTGTGGTGAAGACCATGAGTTCATTTTGCAAAAGGCATCTATCTATTGGCCCTCGGGGAACAATGTAGTCTTGTGAATCCTGGGTATCTGTCTTTGTCTTTTGAGAAGCCTGCAGAAACCTGAGGAAAGTTCTTCTTTTAAGAGAGCTCTTTGTCCTTGCAGCAGGTTCATGACCTTGCTCTCACCTCCACCTGCAGATACCCCTCCATCATAACTTGCCTTCCTCTATCCGTATGCATCATTCCATCCTCTCTGCTGCTGGGGCAGCTTCTGGCTTCTGGTTTCAGCATCCCTGCAGGTCTCCCTCTTCCTAGCCACTGCAGCAATCTCCTTTTCATCATACAGACCTCTTTCGGCAGCCAACACACTCCATCCACACAGCTCTGCAGCTCTTCAACTCTGTAATTCAGCCAAGTATTACTATCCAAATTTCTTCACAGTCACAGGGGCTGCTTATCTCCCCAAGACATCATTGTTTTTAAAAGCGGATTTCTGGTATGTTGTCCATGGAAGATCAACTATCAAGGGCTAGACAAAAGACCCATGCACAGGTTGCTATCATGTCCCCATGTTTCATTGTCACTTCAAACCATTTTCTCCCTCACTCCTTCCCAGTGGGAAGGCTTGAATACTGCCACACAGCCCTTTTTTTACTTAAGTCAATTTACCAACCCACTCTGTGAGCCAGGAAAGCCTTGGGGGAAGGGCTGAGGGTGCATTCACTCGTTGCTGCTCTAGCAGAAAATCAGGAAGGACATGAATGGCAAGCAACATGGAGAAGTCTCACCTGACCCCAGAGATCAGGACCCTTGGGCTTTCGGCTCTCAAGATTCTGACTCCCCTCCACAGTTACTACCGACCCATACCACCCTACTCTCCTGGCTGCCTTCTCTGTCTTTTTATATGGTCCTTTCTGTCTTTTTATATGACAAGACAGCTGAAGAACCAACATGAATTCACAGCAATCTGAGAACTGATGAGAGTTTCTGCCTTGGGAAAACACTGTGCATTAACACGGCTCTTTTAGGAAGCACAGTTCTAACTCAGAAGACTGTCGTAGAGTTGGAACCCTGACAGAAACAGATCATTTCTGCATCTGCTGGCCCCGGGGAGGGCTTGTGTCCATGTAGCTCACCACTTATCTTCACAATTAATGGGAGACTTGACCTCTCAGGGGACCACTGTATGAGTGCCCAAGCCCAATCACTCATGTTTATATCACTTATTCTGCTTCTCTGTTGCATATTCAACACTATTAGCTGTATTTCTGGTTTTTCTTCTATATTAACTTGTGCACTGCTTTAGATGAATGCATGCTTTGTTTGCTTTCTGTTGCTGTGATACATACTCTGATGAAAAGCAACTTGGGGAGGGAAAGGTTTATTTGTTTTACACCTCCATGTCACAGTTCATCACTGAGGGAAGTCAGACCCTATGATGCTTACTGACTGGCTCCCCATGGCTTGCTCAGCTTGCTTTCTTAGACAACCCAGGTCCACCTGCTTATGGATGGTACTGCCCACAGGGAGCTGGATCCTCCCACATCAACAGTCAATCAAGAGAATACCCCACAAGCATACGATAGGCCAATGTGATGGAGACGACACAACAGAGGGTCCCTCTTCCCAGCTGACTCTAATTTGTTTCAAATTAGACAAAACAAATCAGCACAGTGCATAAAGGTGACATTCATTATCTCTCCATTGTGATGTAGCACCAAAAGAACAGGGACTTAGTCATTGCTCCATGCCCAACACCTAGAATAATGTCTGCCATATGGGAACTCAATAAATATTTGCTGAGTGAATGAATATAAAAAATGACAATGAGACTCTACTTGACCCTGGAAAATGGCCATAGAAAACCAGATCCTCCATTCTCGGGCCACATTAGTGGTGCAGAGTTGTTTGAAGGATGGGAGCCAGGATTTCCCTTTGCTGTTAGATTTATGCAAACCTGCAGTCCCAGAGTCTGCTGTTATTTTTAGGTAGACAAACTGCCTAGAATAAGGCCACCAACACCCATCTGTCACTGCTGCTCTTTTGCTCATTGTCCTAGACAAACATAATAGGGATCCAGTGCCACCTTAACAAAGATTTGGGTTTGGAGATAGTGGACTTCAAATCACCCAGCATCAGCAAGCTGTACCTTCAGAATAATGCAAAAGGGGACAACACGAAAGCAACATAATACTGAATAGACACATCTGTGACATATCTGTCCCTCTCTGAAAGTCAAATTCACTTCTAATTAAAGATGATAACCCTCTTGGGCTGTGAACTTGCTATAAATATATTCAGCCTGTATCTAGTTTCCTTTTTTTTTTTTTTTTTTTTTTTTTTTTTTTAGACAGAGCTGCCTTTGACACAAACTTGCACAGCAATATATAAAACCTAATATTTGTCTAAGATTAGGCCCAGCTCAAGTTCTTCTCAATGCCTTTAGTTGTCTGCAACTCACAGTGGCTTTTCTTTAGAGTACAGGAATAATTTCATGTTATTTCTTTTGACAGCTACTCGTAACTTAGGGAGGCATTCATTCTTTAGAGAATTACATTGAAACTGTTCAATAGAAGGAAACAGAAACTATACTTCAATTCAATTTTTTTAATTCTTCTGGTGGGTGTTGCCCAACAATGAAGGATCGTGGTGTCTAGGACCTGCATGGTGACCATCGATAAAGCCCAAAAGATGTTACCACAAAATTAATGTGTTTTTTTAGGTTTGTAGCTGGAGTATTTCTTAATCCCTGAATAGAAGTAAGTCAGGTTTTTGAAAAATTGTTCCACAAGGATATTTGGCAACCACTTGCTGCTTTTCATGCCTTCACAAGAGAAATAGTAGATCGGGTCTATTAACTTTCTCACCGTCTCTGGAACTTGACCTCAGCTCTATGTGACTCAGGCCATTTGCTCTAGGAACACTGTTGCTTCTTCCAACAGCCTTTCCATGGAAACACATCCTTTCCATGGGGGGTTGGAGGGTAGGGGTGG